TCACTCCAGATCAGCGGTATTTTGTGGCGTCCAAATCTGGCGGCCCACTATGTCCCAAACATGCTCGATTGATGAAAGGTCTGGTGACCTTGCTGGCCAAGGAAGAGTATCAACCGCATGGAGACAGTTCAGAGATATGCAAGCAGTATGTAGCCTGGCATTAACTTGTTGGGAAAAAGCCCCAGGATAACGTGCCAGGAAGGGTAATGCAACCGGTCGCAGAATGGTATCAACATATCGTTGACCTGTTAATGATGTATGGAGGATGACTAAAGGTGACCTGCTATCATAAGAAATAGTGCCCCACACCATCACACCAGGGGTTATGGCTGTATGCCTTTGTAAAACAAAGGCTGATTGGGACCACTGGCCCCGTCGTCTCTAGACATGAACACAGTGGTCATCTGCTTCAAGAGTGAAGCAGGATTCATCGATGAACACTATACGATGCCAGTCTGATGGAAGCCATGATGATTGGCTGTGACACCACTCCAGACAACTCCGCCAATATTGTGGGGTCAAAGCAAACATCTTAAAGGCCTCTGTGACCATAACCCCACTTCAGACAAGCACCATGAGATGGTGGACGGTACCACGGGCGGTATAGACTTGGCTGCAGTGCGTTGAATAGTCAACAATGATATTGTTGGGGCGGTTCGGGCTTGGCGAACAATCATCCTATCTTGCCTTGCATTTGTGCTCCTTGGCCTTCCAGAGCCTTCATTTTATTGGCAATTTCCTTTGTAGCCACCATTGCTGCCAACATCTTTGCATAGCAGTGTTTGTACGCTGCAGATGGCAGCCTATTGCTCGGTATGACCACCCAGCTTCATGCAACCCTACAATGCGACCATGTTCAAAGTCGTTTAGTTGTCTGTAAGGTCTTCGATATCGTCACAATGGCATCTTTAGTTGCTTCTTTACGAAATTACTATGGCAGCAACAAAAAACATAAATTTTCCGCTTCTGTTACTAGTTTTATACTTTGTGAAATGTGCGCTAGAAATGCGCGCTATGATCGCAATTCCTGTTCATTTGCCTTGAAACTTTCATCATTTGCATGTTCAATCAAGATGTTTTTGCATATCAAATTTTGTCACAATCGCAAAAGTCCTTGTTGGTGCTTCGATTTGTTTTAAAAAAAGGAGTGTATTCGGGGGGGGGGGGGGAGAAGAAAAAAAATGCTATTTTTGTTGATAAAATGGTTGGCACAAGGCTTGAAGATGTCTTTTTTATGCTCATTAATTCTTTTTGATAGTTTTCAGGACACTGAGCCTATATGTTGAATTTCTCTGCTTGTATTTTCATTACAAATCAGGATAGTATAAACCAGGGTAGGCCCTCAACAGGCGAATCGCATGCCTTTTAACCACAAAAGATACATCTATGGAACATGGTAAACTAAAATTACTTAATACCCAGAAGAAAGCAATTAATTTACTTTGTTTCCTTTTAGAAAGTTTTCTGTTGACACAGATGAAACTGCCCCCAAGTGTACAGCTCTGTATTGGCTCATGTAAACAAAACAATCCATAATTTGTCATGATGCTTTACATATAAGGATCCTGATAAATCTAATCCCACAATCTCAAACATAGGCACATTTTCAACTCTGTCTGCAGGCACTATGGCTGTATCTGCTGTTAAAGAGTGAAACTTACTTTTGACACTTAATACAATATTTCATGACATTTCAAACTGTTTTCCTATATTCAAGGATCAAATAATTTTTGCACAGGATACTAAGTAACATTTGAGTCCCTGCATGACAATTCTCACAATGAAAATGCTCAATAAATCTTCGTGTAAATACAGAAGAATTTTTAGACAATAAGATTGGCAATATAAACACTTGTTTATCAATTTTGTCCATTATAAAAGCTTTCATTTCTTCTACTTTAATGTACATATGTGTGTAATTTCTCTTTCAGAAGGAAAACATTTCTTCTGCACATGTCATATCATTATAACTTCAGCGTCCTTAATCTCTGATAACGTAAAATCCCTCTTTTTTCTGTTCTTATGATTTGATTTGACATTACAGTAAAAAGTCCGAGATCTGGACTCGTCGGGACTTTAGCGATTCCGGATATTAAATCATCAGTTTTTAAACTGATGATCTAATATCCGGTAACCAGTAAGATGGCATGTAGAAACTGTAAAATTAAAAATATGAAAACGTGATTTATGAAACAATGAAACATTTATCATTTAAAGTGTATCAAAATTTAGGAGAAAAAAAGCTTAACATTTATTTGTTTACTTTATTAAACATTGCTTTCAAAGTTATTAATTTGTTTCATTTTTTGTGCTAATACTTTCTCTTTAATTCTATAGACACACATAATTTCTAGTTCAGTTAAATTCCATTGTTGAAGTCCTGTAATGCTGTGTCTAGAATTTTGACTGACTGTCATAGAAATTTCTCGTTTTCAGTAACTTCTCTGTCACTTTCTTCACTATTGGTTGTGGTATTTTTGGATCTAGAACTATACTACACATTTCTCCATTCATTAATTGATTGATGATTGAGAAGCATTATCATGAATGACCAGTGAAAGACTTCTTTTATCTCTTCATTTGTTACCGCTTCTCCCTTCTTTCTTTACAAAATCTGTTACATGGAAAATTTCACCTTTTTTGCGATATCCGTAAACCTTTAAATTAGCGGCTATCATCATCAAAATTAGCTATTTTTCACTATACCTATTTGGCTATGCATCATGAGCTTTGGCAAGTAACGACAAGGTGTTTCATTAATTTATCTTGCTTCTATAGTGCACTGAGACAAGCCAAATTGTATCAGTTGGTTATTTATTATACTTGATAACTATCCCTTGTACATGCTTAAGGCATATCTGTGTCCTGAATAAATAAATTTCCACATATACTTAAGGCTTTCTGCAGGCTTTAAATTCTTGCCACTAAGCACCTCCATTTGGCTACTCGGTGTGGCCATACGAGCTCTGGCGCCGGTTCTGGGTTTATGTGAATAACAAATCAGTTATTCTTAATTTAAATAGCACCAAATGTAATCATTTGGCTTATAAGTATCATTAACAAAATTTATTTTTAGCATGCATAAAAAATTGTTAAATTTTAGCGCATTAAACTTAAATCTGTAACCAGCGTCAAGCATAATGTCAACATAAAAGGTTACCATACTCTTTGCTATTCAATTACTCATATAAAATAACTGTTTAGGCATCACTTCATGAGTTGTCATGTGTTAATAAACATGCAGTGATGAAAGCAAAATGTAATAAATAATGATTCACCAGGTCGGCATCGGAGATATAAAATATTAGTAGGTGTAAAATCAATGATGCATCTATGTAGAATGTTTCGGTTTGAGATGTATGCCAAGCAGATGCAGAGCCAAATTATTGGGACTCTCCACATGCGCGGGGGAATCAAATGCGTATGTGCAAATCACACACAAAAATAAATAAATTTTAAAAAAAGTTGGTGGTGATTTTGAGATCCAGGTTTAGGTCATTCTGGATATTGGACTTTGTACTGTATTTAATTTGGCCATGTCTGGAAGTTTCTTCTATAATGCTTCAACATCACATCTGCAACATTTTGCTAATCATCAATGAAGCCAGTCAATCATTCATATGTCCAAGAATTTGCTCACTAAATTCTGAAGCTGTTAATCTAAAAGAAAGACTTTTTTTTCCAAATATAATATTTTCTACCCCTCTACACTAGAATCTTTTACCATAATATGCTTCCTTAATCCTTAAACAGGTTAAGCCTACTTTAAATCCAAGAAGAATATTTTTCATAAGCCTTTCAAATAAGTACAGATACATGCATCTTGAAATGAGTCCAAACAATTAAAGTAGTTCATCGGGGGGGGGGGGGGACATATATATATATATATATATAATAAACATTGGCATTTAAAGTTATAATCATGAACAGATCTCCTTCCCCTGAAGTTTTGGGAATTTTCAGATTTTAGAATCCTTGGCTGGTTGGAAGGCTAACAGTTTGGACATACTTTAAAATAAACCTTAAAGGTAAACGTTATGGATATATGGATGCATGTATATACACACACACACACATATATATATACATATATAAGCAGAGCACTTAGAAGCATATATATAGTTTGGATAAATGGATATTTTAAAGACATTTTGACCTATTTTAAATGATTTATACAAATAATATCATCCTAGCATTTAAAAGAAATTTAATCATGAAAGGCTGCTTTAATAAATACAAATGATATCAAAGGATGTGATAGAGATTATTATCCTTTTACATGCACCTGTGAACTGAACATTAATTGTTTGTAAAATATTTTTCAGGTGATTCTGAATAATTGAATAAATTTATGTCATAATATTAAATTTATTAAATTTTAAAAATTTAATTTCTCTGGTTACTTTTATATGATATTAATTATTATTTACTAAATTTTCTTTGTCAGTTCAGAACAAAGCATACATGAGGCAAAAATCCTTGAATATGCAAATAATACTAAAGATATTAAGTCAAACTGACATTTCCACCCAATAGTGAAAGAAAGAATCTCTTACAATCAGGCAGTTTCAGGAGATACTCCATCAAGCCAAACTCTTGAAAATAAGAACAAAGAAATTAAAAGTAAGATCAATGAAGATAATGCTTCGAAGCCCTGAATGAATGATTTAAAACTTCAGTGTTAAGAAATTCCTGATAGGTATTAGAAGTTCTTAAAGACCAAAAACTGGCTGAGAGTATAATTGACAGCCATTAGCAGTTTCAAAATATTTGAACAATTCTATAACTCCAACCATGGATTTTAAATCAGTTCACTAAATATTAAGAGATTAGATCTTTAACACTTTAAAACATTTATTTCATTTTTGGTGAAACAACTGACAAAATTTTAGTCCATTAGCATTTATAACAAAGCAGAAAACCACTCTGCATTTTATATTGAAACCTACATTAACAGGAAAATATTAATTAATTTCAGTTAAAGAAAGGAAAAAACTTACAGCAAGTATCATTTCTTCAATTGCAGGAGCATATATACAGGGTTCAATTTCAATCGGCTTTAAGTTAACATTTATCTAAAAATGTAAGAAAAATAATTTAAAACATATATAAATAATATATGCTATTTTTAAAATGAAATTTTGGAAATCAGTCAATTCACACAAGTTCAGTACAACCACTTACTAAAATGATTTGCATTTTAGTGAATTAGTTATTAAAATTAAAAATGTAATATTTATTTAGGGAAACGTTGCCAACTTAGCAAATTTTGTTATCAAGCAGTAAACCAGTTCTTAAAACTTGATCTAAATCCAACCACTGATTTCCTCATGCCCACTTTATCTTAACAATGAACTTACCTGTGATGCTACTTCTTTCACATATATTGCTGCTTCATTCAAATGAGGTAAATGTGAAGCTTGCAGCTGAGTTTGATTATTTAACACTTGCTTTGCTTTATTAACCACTTCCACAATTTCAATTTCTTCATCATCACTTGAGACTAGCTTAGAGTTATTTTCTTCTTTCAGCGTAGAAAGAAGGTCATCAGCACTGGTAACAGAACATAATTCAATACCTAAAATAGTTTTGGAAGCAAATGTCAGTTAAAAGTTGCAATACTTAGGATAGAATTAAAATATTACATTAAAATCTTTCTAACACCCAAATGCTAATCTTGATATCTTAAAAAAAGAATCCAATGTTTAATAAAGATTACATGTATTCTCAGGTATAAATGGCTTACAGGTATAAGAATCTACATCTATTTACCTCCAAATATAGATGCACACTTTTTGAATATGGAAATATAATCTCGAAATAGTGAATGCACTCCTATATGATGGACGCATAAGAATGCATTCATTCATTGTTAAAAGTGCATTATACAGTACAAAGTCCGTAATCCGAAATTCTGTTCGAATCTGGAATGATCTATAATCCGGACCTCAAAGCCACAAACTTACACATGCACGTAAAGCATTTATGAATGTGCTTTTAATGCGCACATCTGCTACACATGCACATAAAGCGCTTACCCATGCGCACTTCCGATAGTGAAGAAAGTGACAGAGAGGTTATTGAAAACGAAAAAACTTCGATTGACAGTCGGTATTTTCGACGCAGCAATTACAGGACTTAAACAGTAGAACTTTGTAACTGAACACGAAATTATGTCTGTTTATAGAATTAAAGAGAAAGTATTAGCACAAAAAACGAAGCAACCTACATTGAAAGAAATGTTTAATAAAGTAAGCAAATAAGTATTAAGCTTTGTTTTTTGTAAATTTTGATACCCTTTAGATCATAATTGCTCTTCATTTCATAAATTACAGTTTCATATTTTTAATTGTATAATTTCTGCATGCCATTTTACCAGATTTAAATTGATGATCTATAATCCGGAAAAACACCTAATCCGAAATTGCCGAACGTCCCGATGAGTCCGGATTATAGACTTTGTACTGTATTATCAACAATACAAAGATGGTAACTTATAACGTTTACAGTTATATTATTTTTATCTGTTGATATAATATGATGCTACACTCCAAATGATTTAACATATTGTTTAATTAAAAAAAGTAATTTTTTATGCAGTATTTCAGTGCATAAAACCCATAAAATCTGAAATATAATATAACATACACTTATTTTAATAAATGTTAGATGGATGAAAGCATCACAGCGTTTACAATAAACTAATAAATAACAATGTTAATATAAAAGAAATTATTAATGGAGTTCACCTAATGTAGAAGAAAAAAAATTATGCAAATGATACATTACCTGACCACTTAGGTTCTGGCAAAAGAGTCATCTTTTCTAAGGGGGGGAACAAAAAAAAAAAAAAGGAATTTCATTAAAATTTTCTCTTATTAAAAAACTTGCAGTGCATAGAATTCATAAAAACTACAATATATATGTAGAATATATTCTGAAAAATGAATTTTTAGATTAAAATTACGCTGAAATTATAACTACAAGCAGAATTTCCCATTTTATACTAAAAGTTGAAAAATTTTTCACACATACACCAAAATTATAATTTTCTGCTCCTGCTTTCCAGCAAAGAAAGACTGGATCATAGTTTAAAAAATTAAATAAAGCTGAAACATTTAATCTACAGAAATTCTACTGGTAGGCGGTTTTTATTATTATCCCCTTCAAAATAAAAATTTGAACTGATCAACAAAATGTATATTAACTGCTGAACAGAGTTACTTTGTAGATAAACACAGCCACTTACTTTGTAGATAATTATTGTATAGGAAAATTCAGAAAAACTGATTAAAGGAAATGAGCAGCTGCAGTCTTTAGGTAGTGGCTAGCTTATGTGATTCATAAATCAAACAAAACTCTTCTGCTATCAGGACCAGATTCAGAATTATATACATGTGTTCATGCATGCATGTATATATATACATATGTATGTATGTGCATGTATACATATATATGTCATGATATGAATGATTTGAAACTAGGTGATTGCATAATAGATGCCTAGTGAAGAAACTTGGCAAAATAGACATGGCCGGATTCAAGATAGTTTTATTATTGAGGAAGCAATTCTGGATTTGAAGTACAGTCAAAAGTTTTTAATCTGGATGTCCATAATCCGGACTGATCTATAATCTGGACCTCAAAGCTACAAACTTCCTGTGCATGCGTAAACGCAAATGCGTTTACGCATGTGCATAATACCTTTACTCATGCGCATATGCGTTTACATATGCGCATTTAATGTATAACGGATGGTATAAGCTAAAGCGGAAATTATCTAATTATCTATTTCAGTTAATATTACAGATTGCGTCGTTCCTTAATCTTCTAATTGGATCCAGCTTATTATTTTTTGAAGACTGTTAGAGCAATTATATAAAAGTAAGCTTGAACTTTCGATTATGTCAAAAATAATTTCTGATTCTGTAGCTGCCAAAGGATCTACAAAGCAAAAGCGTGTTTCGATGTCCATCAAACAAAAAGTGGAATTGCTGCAAAAAATGGATAAAGGCATATCCTTTGTTTCTCTAACCATTTCGAAATCCGTTTATCAATTTCACGCTGCTCTGCGGGAAGGGGGGAGACATCGCGGCGAGCAATGAACTGGAAGTTGATCTGTCAGCACTATCCTTATCTTCAGAGCAGATGTTTTTATTTTATTCGCCTTTTAATTCCTTACTAAATGTAGTATTTCATCTCAATGTACTCCGTCTTTGATATGATTTAAATCAAATTCCTCGTCATTATAAATATCACAAATACACATAAAATAGTTTTCTGGTTGCAATTTTCTAATTTCGACTATGCGTAATGTATATTTTACGCATGTCAGCATTGAAAGAAATGTTTAATAAAGTAAACAAATAAATATTAAGCTTTTTTTTTGTAAATTTTGATACCCTTTAGATCATAACTGCTCTTTATTTCATAAATTACGGTTTCATATTTTTAATTTTATAATTTCTGCATGCCATCTTAGCAGATTTAAACTGAGGATTTATAATCCGGAAAAACGGATAATCCGGAATCGCCGAAGTCCCCACGAGTCCGGATTAAAGACTTTTGACTGTATTTGGTTCACATATGAACGGACGTCATTTGCGCCCTACAATTTTATCAGTTCAGTGAACAAAGAATGTTTCCTCCTTCCCAGGAGGAGAGCTTAAGCAAAAGTGTCGCAGCAATTCAGGAGAAGAAGGGAGGGTGTTAAAAAGTTTCAGTTCGAGTTTAAAAAGTTTTGGTTTACAATTATTTAGTGATTGGGCAAGAGGTATCTGCATTAAGTGTTACCTAACATCTCATGATTAATTTAAATGACACAGTTTAGACTTATAGGGCTAATTTTAAGATAGAGAAAGGAAGTCCCCAAATTAAATAAAAAGATAAAGAGGTTATAGCCAATTAAAATTAAAAGTTTCCTTTCGTATTTTTTATCTTAAATATATTTTTCTGATTACATTGAACATTTACTTTAAAATGTTTTCACTTCTTAGGTGCAGGTTTTTGAGAAGATTCCTTATATAATATAAAGTCTGAAATCCGTACGTCCATTATCTGGAATGACCTAAAATCCGGACCTCAAAACCACCACCAACGTTTTCTCGTAGGCTTTATGCATATGCATTTGATTCCTCCCTCAGTGCATAATAAAACATCAGTAGAGTCCTGAATCTTAATTTCACTTCGACACTAAAGAAAAAAAAAATTGTTATTGAAGAAACAGTCATTTTAGCATAAATTTGTACGATCAGCAATTTGACTCTGTTGTTGTGTATCTGCTTGGCATACATCTCAAACCGAAACATTCCACATAGATACGTCGTTGATCTAACGCCAACCTGGCGAATCATTATTTATTATAATTTCCTTTCATCACCACATTTTTATCAAAACATGACAAATTCTGGAATGACTCATGATGAGTAACACTATTTTTATGTTAGTAATTGAATAATAAAGGAGTGTAATAACCTTTTATGTTGACATTTCGCTTGGCGATGATTACAGATTTAAGTTAAATACACTAAAAAATGTTGATGAGGAAAAATTTCCCATAAATTTCGTTCCATATGCTAAAAATAGATTTTGCTGATGATACTTATAGACCCAAAGCTTACATTTAAGGCTATTTGAATTAAGAATAACTGATTTGTTATTCACATAAACTCAGAACCAGTGCCAGAGCTCGTATGGCTGCATCGAGTTGCAGAATTTAGGACCTACAGAGACTGCATCAGGTGGTAAGATATCTAGCGGCGGCCCTAAATAAGGCTTAATATATGATGGGATTTTATTTATTCAGGACACAGATATGCCTTAAGCATGTACAAGGAATAGTCATCAAGTATAATAAATAACCAAACTGATACAATTTAGGCTTGTCTCAGTGCACTATAGAAGCAAGATAAAATTTAATGAAACAACTTGTCGTTATTTGCCAAAGCTCGTGATGCATAGCCAAATAGGTATAGTGAAGAATAGCTAATTTTGATGATGATAGCCGCTAATTTTAAAGGTTTACAGATATCGCAAAACAAAGGTGAAATTTTCTATGTAACAGATTTTGAAAAGAAATGCGGAGAAGCGGTAACAAATGAAGAAGATATAAAAAAAGTTTTTCATTGTGATGACAATTCTTCTCAATCATCAATCAATTAATGAATGGAGAAATGTGTAGTATAGTTCTAGATTCAAAAAATACCACAACCAATAGTGAAGAAAGTGACACAGAAGTTACTGAAAACGAGAAAATTTCTATTGACAAGTCAGTCAAAATTCTAGACACAGCAATTACAGGACTTCAACAATGGAATTTAACTGAACTAGAAATTATGTGTGTCTATAGAATTAAAGAGAAAGTATTAGCACAAAAAATGAAACAAATTAACAACTTTGAAAGCAATGTTTAATAAAGTAAACAAATAAATATTAAGCTTTTTTCCTCCTAAATTTTGATAGCCTTTAAATCATAATGTTTCATTGTTTTATAAACCACAATTTCATATTTTTAATTTTACAATGTCTACATGCCGTCTTACTAGATTTAAACTGATGATTTAATATCTGGAAAAATCCCAAATCCGGAATCGGCAAAGTCCCAATCAGTCCGGATTTCAGTAATAGCTTAAAAAAATGACTGATAAGGATAAGCCACTTATTGTTGCTGGAAATTCCTCCAGGCCTGATTTTGAGGTACATACTGCCTAGGATAATAAAATGGTCTGAGTGTACGATAACTAGGTTGGTAAAAATTGCCTCGGAGTTGAAAATTTTGGTGTTTCTTTTATATTGTGTACTTCTCCCAGTGAACTTGATGTAGGGAACAATTTTCGTGCCAGTGCATTCCAATCCTGCAAAGAAGTGATATTTGTACAGTTAGCAACATTTTCTTTTGCTTCGGTAGTCCCTGATTTAGAGCTTCAAATAAAATTTTGTCATTTAACTTTAAACTGGATGCAAATCTCAACTTTTGTCGGAAATATTTATCAATATTGTTGAATTTCGAATAGCCTCAAGATCATTAAAAGTTACTGTACACTATCAAAATAAGTACGAAATTTATCCTTAAACTTGCCACTCTAATCTACACATTCCTGTATATAAAATGCTAAAGCCTCGCCTGGAGACATTCTAAAAACACCAATGGTTTCTCTATGTCAGTAATATTTTTGCTGGTACATTCTTTCTCAAACAATAAAAAAATATTTATCTACTAGAATATTCAAACTTTGTCCATCAAATACTGCACACTGATATTTATCTATACTTATTGAAGCCATTTTGGCTTTTTCTGCAATTGACTTTGTTTGAGACCTTGTTTACATTAGGAGTTTTTTTCTATTTTCGGAAAATAAATACAACACTGAAGAATTTGCAATAATCACCAGTGGGATTTTTTGTTAACTTTATTTTTTTGCAGACTGTTAGAGCAATTTTATAAAAGTAAGCTTGAACTTTCGATTATGTCAAATAGAATTTCCGATATGTATTTACTAATACGTAAAGGATCTACAAAGCGAAAGTATGTTTAGAAGTCCATTAAACAAAAAGTGGAATTGCTGCAAAAAATGGATAAAGGCACATCCTTCGTTTCTCAAACCATTCCGAAATCTGTTTATCAATTTCACGCTGCTCTGCGGCCCGAGGGGGGGGGATGCCGAAACGCCACGGCGCGCAATGAATTGGAAGTTAATCTGTCAGCACTATCTTTATCTTCAGTGCAGATGTTTTATTTTATTTCACTTATAATTCCTTACTAAATGTAGTATTTCATCTCGATGTACTCCGTCTTTGCTATGATTTAAATCAAATTCCTCGTCATTATAATTCGCTTCCGATAAAGAAGAAAATGATACAGAGGTTATTGAAAACGAAAAAATTTCGATTGACAAATTAGTCCGTGTTCTCGACACAGCAATTATAGGACTTTAACAGCGGAACTTTGTAAATGAAGAAGAAATTATGTCTGTTTATAGAATTAAAGAGAAAGTTTTATCACATAAAACGAAGCAACTTAAACAACTTACATTGAAAGAAATGTTTAATAAAGTAAACAAATAATTATTAAGCTTTTTTTTTTTTGTAAATTTTGATACCCTTTACATCATAACTGTTCTTTATTTCATAAACTATGGTTTCCTATTTTTAATTTTATAATTTCTGCATGCCATCTTACCAGATTTAAACTGATGATCTATAATCCGGAATTGCCAAAGTCCCGACGAGTCTGGTTTAACGACTTTTGACTGTAGTCAATATTAAGGTTGCCAATCATTTCTTAGTATAGCCATAGTATATTATTATATTTTACATATATATATATAGTGTACACATATAGGTACACACATATGTACATTTCTGAATCTAGTCTTGATAAACAAAGAGTACCTATCAAACTTCATTGCATTAAGCTTGATTGCACTGTCTTATAACTTCCTTTCAATGATATAAGCACATGGAAAACTTTAATTAAAAATACAGATTATTGAGTGCACAATTACCTGAAGTCATTGGAACAAAACCATTTTTCCTACACCACGACATTATAGCTTTTCTGGACCAAACAGTATCAACATTCAAATGCGAGCTGATTTTTTCATTAAGAAGATTTAAAATTGCTGTTCGTACCATACCAGCACGCCTCCACTAAGAGTAAAAGACAAAATATGTAGTTTAAGTATGTTATAACATCCAATTATTAATCATTGCTTTAGTAATATATTTCAATCAATAACAAACCAAATTAAATTAATAACAAACCTCTGATGCTCGTTGTTTGCCAATATTCCACCTCTGGAACTCTTCTATTGAAGATGCACAGAAAGGGAATATACTTCGATCTGGAGAAAAATAATTCCTTGTATAAAATAGTTATAAAGTGATTATGAATATTTGTAGGTTAACTGTATTAAAAGCATAATTTTTTACATATTTATTAAGCAATTAAATTTTAAATGGGCTGATTCACATAATACAGATATTTAAAAAATTTTAATTATTTTAAAAAATGACACAAATTTTAAGTAAATCTATAATAAAATTGGGATATATAAGTGAAAGCAACAATGTGCTTTTCAATCTAGCTAGAGATTCAAACTAGTGCTTATAATCATCAAATAGTAGATATGTGTACTAACTACGTCAGGTTTCAATACATTTTAAGCTTAAACATGAAGCAGTAGTTGTGGAGTGAATGTGGTGAAATGGCATCATCCTTCGGAAGTGAAAAAAGAAAAACACATTAGGTTTTGCTATTTGATTATATTTGAGAGGCTGTTATGGGTTGTCATTCAGATTCTAAACTTTAAAACCCTCAGTGGCGCGACAGCCCTAGTGTGCCAAGGCTAGCAGTGCCCCGATGTATGTTTTCTTGACCGTGGGCCCCGGGATGCGTGAGCATATGCCCTAAACGAGTTGTCAGCTTGTCGCAGAACCCCTGGTGTTTAGTCTCCAAAGCAAACTTGGTACTTATTTTATCGACTCACTCAAGGGATGAAAGGCTGAGTCAACCTTGCCCAGCCCGGGGATCAAACTTCGTACCTGTGTTGCTGCCGTGCAATGCACTAGCCATTGTGCCACCGGGCTTCTCAGAGATGTTCATTAATATAAAAAATCTCAGAATGATGGAGTTCTTGACAAAACCCATAAATACTCATGAAAACATGGCTATAGTTTATGATGATACAGTACCTTTCTATGCTGCTGTCAAAAGCAGGGTTAGCATGTTTATTCAAAAGGAAATGAAGCATTGCTTCGTAGCTGTGACCTACAAATGAAAAAAGAGCATGATGTTGATCACTATAGATCTCTTTTCTCTCCATCTTCTTATCCCTATGTGTTCTGAAGAAATCTGCTGAGAAGATTTAGGGCACCATTTTTGGGGATGAAAAGAAACAATTGCTTATTGATAATAAGCTGCATAATAGCATATTAAGTTAACCTGTTGAATGAACTCTAAAACACAAAAACTGTAAAATGATATAGCAAATTCGGCAGAAAAATATTGCTTTTGCTTTATAACATTCCAGCACACAAGGTTCAAATTTTCAAACTGCCAGTTAGCAATATTGATTTCAACTTCTTCCCAATCCACTGTATCAACCAGATCTGGTCTCAAGTGCTTTCATTTTATTTCACAAATGGATCTGCAGCATTTGTATGGTTCATGTTACAGCTACAACCATCATTTGATGGAAGCCATTCAGGAATGGTTTAAAAGTAAGACAAAACATTTATTTCTGCTGGAATTAGATGTTCACAGCTTTTTCAACTGGTGAACTGAATTTCTTTAAAGCCTTTTTCACTCAAAAAAGTTTATCTTCTTTAGTTAATAATGTTATTTTCAACCCAGTTTTCCCCATTACTTAAAAAATTTCAATATTTCAGCTTTTTCATATAACATTACTGTTTTGCTTGATAGAGTGCATTACCACATTTACATTTTTGTTAAAGACATATGTCTGATTACCCTTGAAATTGACAGAGTTTTATTTCAATGTAAGGTTGCTTTGTTGCCAAATTTTAAATTTTGCATTCTACACTTCTCTTGTAATTAGAATGCAATTATCTGTTATTTGTATTTATATCACTTTTCAACAAAGAGGCTGCGAAAATCTAATACCTTTTCTTACAGAAAGGGGAAAAAAAATTGACACCTAAACCCTTGGTGTTCACAAAGTTCTAAAAATATCAGAAGACAGAAGTTTCTTTTTCTTATCATTATAATTTCAGAATGCTACTTTCACATTATACCTTGATATTTTTCCTGTTCAGACATAAATGCTGCCGTAATTATCCAGACATATTTCAAATTTATATATAGTATTTATATAAGTGTGTTAAAAATATATAAAGCTTAATTAGCTGGAAGACTAATAAATATACAAAAATATATACATATAAAAATATATACAGTCAAAAGTCGTTAATCCGGACTCCTCGGGACTTCGGCGATTCCGGATTATCGATTTTTCCGGATTATAGATCATCAGTTTAAATCTGGTAAGATGGCATGCAGAAATTACAAAATTAAAAATATGAAACCGTAATTTATGAAATAAAGAACAATTATGATCTAAAGGGTATCAAAATTTACAAAAAGAAAAAGCTTAATATTTATTTGTTACTTTATTAAACATTTCCTTCAATGTAAGTTGCTTCGTTTCATGTGATAATACTTTCTCTTTAATTCTATTAAACAGACATAATTTCTTGTTTAGTTACAAAGTTCCGCTGTTCCAGTCCTATAATTGCTGTGTTGAGAATACCGACTAATTTGTCAATCGAAATGTTTTCGTTTTCAATAACCTCTGGGGTCACTTTCTTCACTATCGGAAGCGAATTATAATGACGAGGAACTTGATTGAAATCATATCAAAGACGGAGTACATCGAAATGAAATACTACACTTAGTACGGAATTATAACTAAATAAAATAAAAAAACATCTGCCCTGAAGATAAGGATAGTGCTGACAGATTAACTTCCAATCCGCCGCGTGAAATTGATAAACAGATTTCGGATTTCAAAACATACTTTCGCTTTGTAGATACAAATTACATATTTAAATATATATCGAAAATTCTATTTGACATAATCTTTCTAATCTATCATAATCTAATAATGACGTTTCTGCCCTCCCTCTGCCGCAGAGCAGCGTGAAATTGATAAACAGATTTCGGATTTCAAACATACTTTCACTTTGTAGTAAATATATATCGGAAATTCTATTTGACATAATCGAAAGTTCAAGCTTACTTTTATGAAATTGCTCTAACAGTCTGCAAAAAATAATAAGCCGGATCCAATTCGAAGTTTAAGGAACAACGCAATCTGAAACATTAACTGAATTAGATAACTTTAGCTTAGCGTATAACTCCGTTACACATTAAACACGCATGCGCACAAACATATTCGCAGCCGGAAGGGTCTTACGCGCTCTCGTAAACGCCTGTACGCATGCGTGAAAGCGACGCATGCGCAGAAAGTTTGTAGCTTTGAGGTCCGGATTATAGATCATTCCGGATTACGGGTGTCCGAATTAACGACTTTTGACTGTATTCATATTTAATTTTTTATACAATAAAATTTTATATATGATTACTCAAAATGTTATGAAAAATTAAAACTAGATACTTTGGAATACTAATGGAAATACACAAAAAGAGTATAATTTTTTAAAAATATTTTCATTAAAGCTTTCAGATATTTTTCATTTATTTCACCTGATTTATCTCATAAAATAGTTAATGCATCAAATGTAAAAATTGTCTACATAAAGAAGGGAAGATATAAAAAATTTAATTTCAACTGATGCTTGAAAATACAATGGACAAAGGAAAAAAAAAAAAAAAAAAAAAAAAAAAAAAATAGTGAACTTACCTACGCCTTTTTTTACAATAGGGAATATTTTACAAACTCTTTTAAGGAGCTCTACGAAGGTTTTATAATAGTCTAGCCTGCAAATAATACAACTAGCATAAGAATAAAAAATATCTTATAGACGTACAATACAGCATTCTTCAAAATAAACTATACTAATAAAATATTCTTAAAATTTGCAATAAATTAATAATGCATTGTCTTGTGGCTTTTCCTTCTTGGTGTTGCATTTTCACTGTTGAGCAGATATGTTCACAGTATATAGGGCATGACAAAACAAAACTGTCAAATGCTGGGGCAGCATTTTATGGCCACAGATAAGCAAAAAATGTTTGTGAAAGTATTGTAGAAAATGCATATTTAACAGTTATGGGACAAGGAAGGTCAGTAACAAGTACAGATGAGCTTGTTCATTAGCCAATTGCTTCAAAGAACTAACTCACTTTATTGAGTAAGTGAACAGTGATTCATAAAAGGAAGCAATAGCTCCTTTAGAGTTCACCCACAGACAGCTCTTATTAGAAGCTAACTAGCAAAGTTTGATTCCCATTTTGGGGGAGAAAGGAATGTTTCAGTACTTACGTATTGGTGTTGTTTGGTAAAGTTTTTGTCAAGAAGAGAGAGGAGGAGGGGACATATTGTAAAAAATTATTTATTACGTACTTGCATATTATTACATGTATATTTTCACTTTAGCTAAGTATTTATTTTGAAAAATCAATAAACCCATTTAATAGCAAATTTTGGATTTGTTTGTTCTGATTCAAGGCAACTTCGAGGCAAAATACTGCATTGCTGTAGAAAATTTTCTGTATTTCTTTCATTGCTAATAAATCTGCTAAGTGCATATTTTTAAAAGCTCAGTTAAAGAGGATTTTTTTATTTTATTTTTTTATTTATAAAAACACTTGGAATACAACAAGCAGCATCACCATCTTAGTCAGAGAAACTGGTGACACTGCTTGCTAAAACTGAAGAGTAATCATACACATGGTCATGATTACCTGGAGAATTTACCATGCCCATAGTTACCACAGTTTGACACATTCCAAAAATTTGGTGACTTTTACTAAGGGGGTTATATTAAACATAAGTACCTGCATTTCTCCACCCACATTATAGACAAGTTTAACTTTTAACATTCTCCAACTAATCCTAATTTCCTAATTTTTTTAATTCCTGAATTTTATTTAGTCTATGTAGAAAAGAGATTTTAGAGAACTGAAAAACTACAATTGAAAGAAGTTAGTCTTTAGTCCGAGGAGTTAGTCATTCAATTCAGTTCTTCCAATTCCCATTCGATTTTTTTCATTCTGGATTCAGCCCTGTTTCGAGGTTATAGTTAGTGAGGGATGAGACATATTTCTTTTCACAAATCTTAGCAGCAAATCAAGGGCACTGCCCAATGAATTTGCATCTCTGCAGAGAAGACAGGCAGCTAGCCTTTGCACCTACTGATGCTCACAGCTCACAAACTATTTATTTCCTTCTGTATATCTGTAGGTACTTTTTATTTATTTATGGTCATGGAAGACATACCAACAAATATAGTGGGTGACACTTTGTATAGTAATTAGCTTTTATATTTATTTGCCATAGATGTTCAGTGCCCTATAAGTTGTAAATAATGCAATTCCTGTTATATGTTCATAGGACATTTATCACTTAATTTCAGTCACAATTTAGCAATTGTATTCTAGAATATGCTGTATATCATTTACAGATTTTACAAAAAAAAAAATAAAAATAAAAATAAAATAAATAAATAAATAAATAAATAAATAAAAAAATAAAAGATTGTTATTAAAATTTTATCCAGGCCTTTAGTTTGCCGTAGTAGAAAGTGTACCTAACTATGCTATTTACAGCAAAATAATTTATCTCATAATTTGCAAATCAAACCTAATGAACACAATGCACACAAAAGTAGTTTTATTATCACACACACACACATATGTGTGTATGTATATATATTACAGTTAAAGTAATAAATTTGGCTATTATTAATAATTGGCAGTTAGTATTAATAACCACAATTTTTGGTAAATGTGATAAATGAACATTAATCACATTAACCAATTATTATTAAAAATTGCCAATGAAGTCAACTGATTAATTAGGCATAATTTATTGAAACTTCAACTCTGTAATTACATTAGTATGTTAAAAAAAAATAAAGGCTTACCTGAAATATGGACTTTTACTTATGTTTTAATTTAAAATAATAACTTTGAAAGTTTAATTTTTTAATATATATCATCATATTTATTGATGAGTGATAATTTTTGAAATCTTGAGTTCATAAATTTTAATATTGTTCTCAGAAATACAAATTTAATAAATTCTATAAAATTAGAAACATCACATGGAATGATTCAATGCATTTACAATAGAATATATTACAGCAAAGCTTTACATGATACAACTTTAAAAATCCATATTACAGTATTTTTTTACCACACTTGAATTTTTTTTTTTTTTTAAATTTTGAATTTGTTTCACCCTATATGGCTTACCTGAAATATGGATTTTACTTATGTTTTAATTTAAAATAATAGCTTTGAAAGTTTAATTTTTTAATATATACAGTCATATTTATTGATGAGCGATAATTTTTGAAATCTTGAGTTCATAAATTTTAATACTGTTCTCAGAAATGAAATACAAATTTAATAAATTCTATAAAATTAGAAACAGCTCATGGAATGATTCAATGCATTTACAATAGAATATATTACAGCAAAGCTTCACATGATACAACTTTAAAAATCCATATTACAGTATTTTTTACCACACTTGGATTTATTATTATTATTATTATTATTTTTATATATTTTGAATTTGTTTCACACTATATGGAATCCGCAGTAACAAATTATTTTGGCAGGATGAGCTACTGTGACATTTTGAGTTAAAAAGTGTTTTTAATTTTTTATATTAGCAGCGGCTTGAGTAGCATTTGCTTTTACAATTGCAACACTTAAATCCTTGACCACCTAAGACAGAATGCTGATGAGTGCATTCTCTGAGACTTATTTCATTCACTGAAATAAATGCTTCCTTGCAGACAGTAAAATCAGTCCTTGTGTATAGTTGTTTTAAAATTCCATGTTTCGTACCAACTTTATGTAAGCTTTGATTTTCTTAGAAATTATGACATCTATAATATTCCAGTTATCAACCTTACCTCTGTCTATCTTTGGTATTCTTATCCATACCTTTTCTCCTACATTTGCTGTCAGAGACATTAACTTTGAAAGACTTAATTTTTTTCCACTTGTTTATTTGGTGACTGCTTAGCAGAGAGTCGAGCTCCTTGAATATTCTTTGAGAAAGCATGTATTGCAAGAGAAGAGCTTTCCTCCATTTCAACCTCAATTATTAACTCCAAATCTTCACTCGAATGACCCAGTTGCACTTCCATATTGCCCTCATTCACTGCGGCTGTATCTTCATCATTGGTTGAGATTGCTGCCTGATGTTGAGCATTATTACCAGACTGGTTTCTTAATACAATAAGATCTTCACTTATTCTTGTCAAGGTATCGGTTGGCAAATAAGTTCTTAAACATACTCTCACTTTACAGCCATACATAGCTTCATATGGACTGTGATCTACTCCCGAGTGATGTGCTCTATTTGTAATAAATGGAATGAGTTTTACTTCTTCTGACCACTTGGTTATATTGTTTGTTTCAAGCCAAGTAGATAACATCTTTTCTATATCTTGGTTTGCTCTTTCAACTTAACTTCGTGACTGACTATATCCTGGATTTCCATGAACAATTTTGACTTCATTCCACATTCTACAAATATTCAATAATTTTATTGGAAAATTCTTGACCATTGTCACTTTGCAGGATGCACCAACCATGGTAAACAGATCCAATAGGTGATAAGCAACTTCCTTGGCCCATTACGTTTTCAACGCTCTTAATTGAATAAATTTTGGTAGATGATCTTGACAAACCCACTTGTGATTGTATGTCACTGGGGTCAACTTGATACCTTCAATTAAATTCACTGCTTTTAACCAGTTTCACAAATGGCCTTTTCTTCAAACCCTTTGTTTCTTCTGACAAGGTCCACAACGATTCAAATAAATCCTTACCATTTCAATTGTAATATTCTTATATTTGGCTTTCACTTCTTTCATCATTCTGTTTGGCTTTCCATGGCTGACTGCAATATGAATCTCATGGATTAGTTGAAAATTCTCCTCCATCCAAGTATAATACACAATCAGATCTTTATCATTTTGCATTGGAACAATGAGTTTCTCGACAATACCAATTTTAACAATATCATATCTTGATACTCAATGATAGTCTTCTGGTGTTTTGCCAGAATTCTTTTTGTTGCTTTCCTTAACTTTCGCAATAAAGGAATTATACTGTTCTCTTGTAAATAACTGATAGTTTTTACCCCCCCCTTTTTTTGATTTGAGCATGTCCAAATGATCGCTAAAATGTGATTTCATGAGTTATAAATCATCTTCCATTGTACTTAAATTACAGTAAAATTTGTGAAAATCCTAAAAGAACAATGCACACACCAAAAACTGACAAAGAAACTTATGTCAAACTGGCATATATATAAAAATAATCAAAACCGTCAAGCACAAAGTATTCACACAACAAAGGAACAATGCACTCAAAGTGTGGGCATCTATATATAAAGTAAAAAAGTAACTGACATTGTCTAGCTGGTTGCACAGGAAATTACCATTTTAAAATCTCTAGCCAAATATATTGAAAATTATTAATATATTGGCCAAACTTCATTGGATATTATTAAAGCTCAGTTGGTTATTATTAATAGTAACTGGTGGTTACTAATAACAATCGATTAATCACATTGACTATAACATAGAGATAAAGAGATGTTATAAGGCATTTTCTCCCTCTTTCTGCATGCCTTCATATATAACTGGAAGCATATTACAATGTGTATTCAAAAGGTCTAGAGTTCGAATCCCGACGAAAAAGGCACTGCGGATTTCTTCAGTTTTCCAACATCTAGAAAATTCTAAATGAGTCTACAATGGCACTCAAACTAAAATTTGATGGACGATAATTCATCACCACCAGGATTTAGAGAGTGGATGTCCTCATCACCAATCACCCTTAAAAACAGGAAGTATATAAGGTATTTTCTCCCTCTATTCCATATGCCTGTGTGGTGTAACTGGAAGCACACTTGATGCGTATTTGGGAGGTCCAGAGTTTGAATCCCAGTAACAGCAATACCTGTTTTTCATATCTCCAGCATCAAAAAACCTAATGACTCTACAATGTAATTACGAGTCTGATGAAGCAGACTGAACTCACATCACTAAAAAAATTACCAAGAACATATTATTAATAAATATCAATACATTTCTACATATTCCCTTTTTTAAATCACATGAAATTAAAAAATTATTTTTCCATATAAAAACCAAAAATAAATAAGAAATGTATAAAGGGCTTTAAAATGTGGTTATTAAAGGGGGAGAGTGAACTAAAAGTTTCATAAACACTTCCAGTTTATAAAACAGTTTAGAAAACTCTTTGATTGAAAAATAAACCAAACATGACATGAAAACTTTCAGCTTTGTTTACTTGACAAATTTTCACACTTGAATTGTCAAACTATTGTTATATCTTAGAAGTGTATTTAAATATGTTCTTAAAGTTTGATGTGTTAAAGTTCTCAAAGATTTTTAAAATACTGAATTTAATCATCATAGCAATTTACTTTCATTGAAAGCAAAGAGTAGTTTATTATATGAACACTATACTTTCTTTTTACTGTCTTCATTGATTAATAGCCTTGGATCGTTGTGGTTATTAGTACTTATAAACAGAGATATGAACTTTTTTTTTATTTTCATTTCCTCTCAAAAAAGATAAATCTGAAGCCTAATATCTTCTTGTATTAGTCAAGATCAGTGGTTCTCAAAGCAGTGCCTATGCACCCCCAGGAGTCTATCACCCCTGAGGGGGGATCTGTGAGAAATTAATTTGAGGCTGCATGAACAATGAGGGATCTGTGTTGGTTTACTATAAGAGAAAATAACTGTGACACATTTTCATTATTATTAAAAATAAATATCAGTACATAAATGTGAAGCAATTTTTTCATCCTGAATAAAATAAAACAATTTGTGCCCTTTTATTACAGATAACAGTATGAGTTAGCCAGAGGAAAAATGCATACAATATACGGCAGAATATTTAAAACATGGCTTTATTCCATTACCAGGATATGATACAACATGGCACTTTGTTGGTTCTTTAAAGTGTATGTTTGGATTGACTTTTATGTGCTCTTTGATTCAGTGTTGGAATTCTTGAAAATTAAAAACAATAATTTGCAGCTCAGTTTAATTTAGAAAGTGATATAACTTACATGATTAACTCACTTGCCAATTTTAGTGAAACCAATTTGAAGCTAGAAGCTGATCAATTAAATTTAATCAATTTAAAAATTATAACATCTGCATTTACTGTAAAATTTTTCTACACAAACAAAAGAAGGGAAAAGGAGAATGCTTCCAATTTCTAAATCTTTCAAAACTTCAAAAATGAGATGAACATTTGCTTGGTTATTGTTATTACTTAATAGTTCTTCATTGACTTCAGCCAAAGATCTGAAGGCATTCTTAACTTGGTTAATCCAACTGGGTGTTGGATCCTTCTGTAAGTAGGCTCAGAACCTCAGATGAATCCATACAAATACAGGAGCAATTTTTTGAATTACCATCCATAAAAGAGGAGCTGAAGTTAATGTTTGAATGAGGATAACGGAATTTCTGGTTACAAAAGCAAATAGGAGTTTTACATTCTGCAGTATGGGTCACTGTAGTGAAGATGCTAATTGCCTTCCCATAACTTCCAGCCCACCAGCGGCCGAGCAGTAAAATCGCTGAACACTGGTAGTTCGGTCTGAGGTTCGAATCCCGTGAACGGGCTGGCTACATGGACGTTTTCGTGGTTTTCCGCATGTGTAACGTGTATAAGAGCCAGTTTCCACTAGAAAGTCCTCCACAAAGGCATCCTTCCCTTTAGGCAGATAGTCCTAGTGTGCTTTGCCGTATTCTCAATACACCATACACCCATAACTTCCAACCTAATACAATGTGTGCAGTTTAGTACAGTTATGAAACTCATCAGGGAAGGGGGTGGAAGACAAGAAATTATTGCTCATGAAGATTTACAAATGCTCAGAAACGTAGAGCAAAAAGTAAATAATCTCATATTGTTCCATCAGGTTCCTACAATCTCACGGGAGGGGGAGACAAATAACTTTTTTTATTTTAAAACAAAAGTTATAATTTCAATAAATACTACTTTAAACATAAAAAAACTTTATTTATATTTTATTTTTACACCACCATTAACCATTCAAGACGTGAAAGTTAAATTGTTAATTTTCTATTATGCAGTATATAGAGTTATTTCACTTATATACTGCATAATAGAATAGGGAGTTCATGGTCGAATTTTCGTTTTAAGAAGGGGGCCAATGGTTAAAATGAGTTTGGGAACCAAGATGGATATGTGATTTAATAAAAAGTCCTGCAGTAACTTTCAAAACGTAATGATTCAAACTGGGAAATAGCCCATCAGTGGCGGAGCGGTAAAGTCGCCGAACACTGACAGTTCAGTCCAAGGTTCAAATCCCATGAAAAGGCTGGCTGCATGGGCGTTTTCGTGGTTTTTCCCATGTGTAACATGTATATGAACTAGTTTCCCTTACAGAGTCTTCCACGAAGGTATCCCTTCCCTTAGGCAGATAGTTCTCGAGGATTTGCCATAATCACACAAAACAAAACAAAGTGGGAAATAAATCTACCCCTAGTCAAAATATTGACCATAAAAACCAGGGATGTGGGGTCAGAATCAGAGTCGGAGCTGGATTCGCTAAAAACAGGTTGATTCCGTCTCCAGTTTTTGTTGGACAGTTTGAATTTTAAATAAAATTTAAATGAATTGAAAAAAATTAATGACAAGCTGAGTTTTTTTTATTCATGGACTATATACATTAATTAATATAGGGTTGATCATTAATTAATATTGATCATAATTAATATAGGGTTGATCATTAATTAACATTGATCATGATAATTAATATAGGGTTGAAGTCATGTCATATTTTGCTAACATATGTCGTCGGTGCATTTTTTGGAGCATTATGCTCATGCACCTCACTGAAATACTATATAAAGTCAC